GCCTCTTGTCACCATCTGTAACTCAAATCCCCGTGTCTTAAAGAAATGGCAGGCATCTGTTGAAAATATTTATCTCTTCTGTGGCATGGGAGGTTCATAATCCAAGCTTATCTAATAAAAACTGAACTATACTTCAAAGCAACCAGGGAGAGATTGTCCTCATTAGAGTTGCTTCCCCCACCCCCCAAAAAAATCTGCAATGGACATCATCCTGCATGTGATGTTGTCCATCTACAACAGATTGAAAAGTCAAATGATGCTTCAATGGGAATACCACCATGTTGCATCAAGTGAAGAGGTCATCTTTAGACTTTTATACAGTTTGACAGCTTGCTTCATGACATTGGATCACTGGTAGCTGGTGGATGCTCCTCAAACTGGGGTGCTGTGGCTGCTTTATTTCTTCACATAAAAATTGTCATTTAAGAATATAATGTGAACAACTTAACATGTGTTTTATCTGAGTTTTGCCAGTGGATGTCGAGGGGGAATCTTGGTGTGGACTGCAAATTACCGTATTTTTCGCTCTATAAGACGCACCAGACCACAAGATGCACCTAGTTTTTGGAGGAGGAAAACAAGAAAAAAAATATTCTGAATCTCAGAAGCCGGAACAGCAAGAGGGATCGCTGCGCAGTGAAAGCAGCAATCCCTCCTCTGTTCTGGCTTCTGGGATAGCTGCGCAGATTGCATTCGCTCCATAAGACGCACACACATTTCCCCTTACTTTTTAGGAGGGAAAAAGTGAGTCTTACAGAGCAAAAAATATGGTAATTCTGTTGCTTTGCTGGAGTGGAAACCGATGCTGCTTTAAAAACTGTATGGTTTTTGCTTGCTCAACCTGCATAGTTTGTAAATAAACTAATACCGCAACACTCAATTTTATATCTAGTCCTTTCTCTTCAGCTGAAAAATACAGCTGTTAGAATCATCACTTGAGGAGATGAGAAGCACAAAACAATACCTTTAATTTTCAAGAGGCATGCGTGCGCAGGTGATTGTAAAATTCCAGACATCCTCCTGATTCCCTGCTTGCAAATGATGAGTATAGTCAGTTTATCAAAAGGCATTCTTTGGCACCTGCGGCCCATCAAAGCAAAACTCTGGTTTGGTTGTCATTCAGTTTGGCAGTAAAGATATAAATTATTTGAATCACATGTCCTTACATGATTAGAAAGTCACAGTGAGCTCGCTTATTAATTTCTGCTACCATTTTTCAAATATGACAGCTCCTGTATCTTTCCACTAACATAAGAAAAGCTCTTCTAGAAAAGTGCACCTAGTCCACTATCCTTTTTCTAACAATGGCCAAAGATATGATTCTAGGAAGTCCACAAGAAGACACAAAGGCAACATCCTTCCCTTTGATTTTTTTAGAAAACAAATCATATGAGAAAAGGTGGAAGAACTAGGAATAATCAGCCCAAATAACAGAAGACTCAAGGTACGTTCACATTACTACTTATTCTACATCCACTGCTAGTTTTTAAAGCCACGTTCCCATGGAGTTAGCCGCAATCCATAATGATCCAGTAGTTTCTTGACACATACTGCTATTTGATGTGCTTTCCTCAAATCAGTTTCAACCCAGCTAGAGTACAGTGGTACCTTGGTTTACGAACTTAATCCGTTCCAGAAGTCCATTCTTAAACCAAAGCATTCTTAAACCAAGGCATGCTTTCCCATAGCAGCTGGGGACTCAATTTACAAATGGAACACACTCAACAGGAAGCGGAACATGTTCTTATTCCAAGGCAAAGTTCACAAACCAAAGCACCTACTTCCGGGTTTGCAGCATTCTTAATCCAAGTTGTTCATAAACTAAGCTGTTCTTAAACCAAGGTACCACTGTAATGTGAATGTTTGAGACCACCATTGTGCACAGATGGTAGCTTCATGAATAGCAGTGTGTGTTTGTGTGTGTTTCAGGTGTGGGGAAACCAAAAAGGGCATTCACGTTTGGTGAAGACATCCCTGCTCCCTCTCTGATGTGAACAACACCGTCCCAATTCAGTTTGAAATACAGCGGGGGGGGGGGATGACCTTACCGTATTTGCTGGACTTAGGCTTGCAGTCCTTGGTTCAGGCTCACGGGCATCTGACATCTCAATTCCGGAAGGCTATGGCAGCTTGGATTTGGGGATCTGCAGTAAGTGCCAATGCCTCAATGGTCATGGCAAGTACTTTGTTATCTCTTCAATGTAGGCTCCATTTAGCTGTCATGGTTCACAGCTGCTGCCAGATGAGGGATGGGGAATCCATGGCTTTCCATATGTTGTTGGACCACAACTCCCACCTCCCACTGGCCACTGTTTATATGAGCCTTGAGAAATGAAGACTTGAAATCAAGAGCAAAAACTGTTTTTCGGTCTTTATTTGCAGGGCTTGTACAAAGCACAGTTAGCTGAAATGACATGGCTTGCTGAAAATAATAAGTGATTAATTAAGTAAGGTCTGCTACCTGCTGAGTTTTGTCAATGAGCTTCCCATGCATATCCTTCCTCATTATTGCTGCGGTAACCTTATCAGACTCGGCTAGTACTAGAATGCTACACTTTAAGTATTTGTAGTCTGGCACTCCATGTTACTTGCTACTTAACTGGCTTGCACATATAACACTGTATATATTTCGCATGCAGCTTTTCACCCCAAATCAGTTTATACAACTGTGAACAAAAACAAGCCACAATGTTCCCTGACTGAATCAGCGTTTAGTGTACAAAGAAAACAGCATGATGCCACCTCATATGGCCACGTTGTATTTTTCCCATGCAAAAAAAAACAATGTATTCATTAAGATTAATAATTGAAATTTGCTTTAGGATAAGCTGCATTGATTTTTACCTCCTGGTAGGAGGCCGGCCCTCACCCAAGTCTTCAAATATGTTCATGTCCATCTGGCATGTCCCTGGCTCATCCTTCCTGTTGCTTTGTCCATCTGTTTTAAAATCACTTCCAAAATACTGCCTGACTCCCCCCACCCCAAAATAGGTTCGACAAATCTTTGGTATAATCTGAAAATATCCAAGCCTGGCTCCAGGTTTGAGTATTCCTTTGGCAAAATGTCCTCTGGTGGGTCTCCCTAGCTGGTATATTTGGTTCTGGTGATAGCAGTGAGCAGCAGCAGAGCTCTGATGGAGTCAACTTCGGCGCCTCTGATCTATCGTCACCATTGTGGAAAATCTGAAAGATGGCTCCAGCTACCCAGCACACACAAAACATGATTAGAATGGAGGCACATGCAACAGGAATATCAGCTTAGT